TTTTTTTTTTTTTTTTTCGTTTTATCTTAATGGATAATCACTCTGTACATGCTCAAACAACCGCCACGCTCTGTTCTCTCTGCAATATATAATTTCTATTAAATTGTATATACCCTTGAAATTGTCTAACTGGTCCGTCCATCCGATTTTTAACACTGTGTAAACTCGCGCTTTTCGAACAAGAAGGTTCAACGTGTCTTTGGTAATTACAACTCGTTATATAACAAACTACGTCATCTTACCGTAGCAGCAATTAGAATTCAAATACTTAGGTCTCCTTTGTTTTCTAAACTTTTAAAACTTACATCAACTGACGTAATACGGTACATATCGATCTATCGAGAGATAGGAAGGGAGAGATCTATATTCTATAGTACCCACCTGCGTCTAATCTAAAAAAGATCTACTTTTCTTCATTTTCCCTTTCATTTTATTCGTAATATTTTATTTCTACTTAGTGTTATTACTTAACATATATATCTTGTATGTTAAAACAAAAAAGTTGTTAGTTTTGTTTAAAGGCTTTTAGAGTGGTTTTTAGTAATAAAACTTATTTGGTAAGTTATTTACCTGCAGAAATTATTTACCAAGTTCTAAATTGTTTTTGTAAGATGTTAAAAAAAAAAAAGAGAAGAAACTTTTAAATTGCCGTGTGTTGCTCTTTCTAAAAATATGCAATTTGTTTTACACAATATACTTAAATGTGTGCAAACTTAAAATGTATATGCAAAATATATGTAATGCAAAATATTTAAAAAACAGGTAAGTGAAACAAAAAATCTAATTGTTTTAAACGAGATAATACGATTATCAAAGATAAAAATTTAGATACAATTCAGTAAATAATTTCCTAAGACACAGGTAAGGTGTGCACGACATCAATATAAATTGCACAACTGATATTGCAATAAAGTATTAAAATATTCTACAAACATAGCCTGTTTGTTTAACAACATCTTCCTCTTCTGTAATAGAAGTGTTGTCTTTTTAACAAAAGTAGACTAGATATATCTCTAACTTAATGGAAAAAACTTTTAGCAAAAAAATTAAACATTTCTAATTATTCCTAATTACGATGTGTTTGTTATGTCAAAATATCAAATTTAAGCCACAAATTTGTAAAACAAAGTGTATGAGAGAGAAAAACAATTATTTTCTTCAGCTAAAAGTATAGTGAAAGTGTGTTAAAAAAAAAAAAAAACACTTCAACAGCATCAATAAAACATAACAATGCAAAGCTGCAACTTTTCAAAACTTATATAATCTTTGTATAATACTTTTTATATTATTTATAATTATATATTTTATATATCTATATATATATTTCTTAATATTTTTTTGTATAGTTTAGTTATTCTATTTGTATCTTTGTTTCTCTATGTCTTTCAAAAAGATATACTTTTAATAAAATTCATTAAAAAATAACTCTATAATTGAAAAATACAGCTGCAATATCTCTCATTAATGCTGTCAATTATGCCTAAACACATGAGAACAATTAATCATTAGAACATAGGAAACAATTAACTATTGTGGTAGACAGGGAGGAGAGAGAAGAAGGTTTGTTATCGGGAGAAACAAGATCAGCAACACTAGATGCTGAGGGAGTAGTGGGAGCGGGAATATAATTGTTATAATTACCATTACTCATGTGCAGTACTTTGGCCATCTTTTTCATGGTGGCGTCGAGCTTGGAGTCTGTCGTCTCCAGCTCATTTCCGAAGTCGTCTAACATCCTGTTGAGAGAAATAGATTCAAAACAATCTCATTCACACAAAGACAACAATCTCAAATAAAATCAAGTATATTATTTAAAAAAAACAAAAATATATATATAAAACAATCTATGCATTACACAGCTTGCTCATCCAGTTCATTGTTGATCTGCCTGGATACTGTTTTCAAAGTGCCAACCGTTTCCCCGATCATGTCCAACTGTTCGTCCTGCTGCCTCATCATAACATTCTGTTGTTGCATGGTGTCGCTGAGGAACTGTCTGTTTGGGCTGTCTATTTCATTTTCCAGCTTGCTGTATTTGGCGGTTCCATGATTGGTGGGTACTCGCGCAGGGCTATTGTCCAAAAGCGGCTGAACACAAAATTCGATCCGTTAGAAGAACACAGAATTCCATCACAGACTGAATAATAAATAAGACATTCGCTGCAAGAAACTTGTTGCGAATATACGTGATATAAAATTTTGCGTTTCTTCGAGATAATCGCTCTTTAAACAAGAGTTTTTTGACGATAAGACTTTACTTCGAGTTTGCGTTAACGAAACAAAAATCGAAATACCATTGTTGTTCACGAGAGCTGGCGAAACGGGAACCTATCGATTTTGCGACACGTCAACAGTCAAAATAACAAACTAACTTCTCGACGAGGCGGCCATGACGAATCACTCTCTCTCGAGGAGGTTAAAATCACCGACCGAATATCGATCAGTTCAACGGAACGATACATCGTTCGAGATGTTAATAAAAATTTAAGTGCGCAGATGTCGCCACCGTCGCGTCGTTTCGCGCACACAAACGAAAACTCAACTCGCACACACGCGAATTATTTTTGAACGAATTGTAAAAAAGAACTACTTTTTATCTTTTAAAAGATGTTAAAACTTGCTGAGAATGAAGTCCGGTTTCTCCCGACTTATTTTTAACTTGTTCAAGCTGATATCTTAATCATATCGCGGTGTCGATAATTTTTTATCAATCGTACGTGTGCTAAAAAAGCTCGTCGCAGAATGTAAAAAAAGAGAATGTAAAAAAAAAAAAAAAATAAAAATAAACACAGTGATAAAACACACAAACCTGTCGTGCCGTGTTGTCACGATCTCGGCTTCTGCTCAGGTTCAGTTTGTCCTTCATGATCTGCGGAAACGTTTGGCAAAAATGACTGGCATTAAGGGGGTGCTTATTAGTTTCGCAAGCGCGGTTTTACGTTTTAGCAAAGCGTTGTTGCATCAGTCCGCATTGAAGTAGAAAGTATGTGAGCAAGATAACGATCGGTGTGATTATATATCAGTGACGAACTATATAAATGTTGTTACATGAGTCGCTTTTTTTTTTCGCCTTTTTAGCATTATACAAATTCATTCAACTGACGTTCTCTCTTTGTTATGTATGAATTAATTATATCGACATTTCGACAATCAACAAATTATTCTGACGTCCGATGTGCGCATTCGGTTGCCAAACAGTACGGGGGAAACAATTTTGTTTTCCTCGCAAATTATGTGTGTGGGCGTCGTTAAGTGATTTATTTAATTAAGTACCTTGACTTCCTCCCGCGCCTGCTCGATGAAGCTCCGTTGAATGGTCAGTTCTTTGTTGTCCACTTTGAACTTCGTCGGGTTCTTCTCAACGATACGTGTGTACGCATAAGGACGATATCGAAACAATTTAAGTTGTTTCAACAAAAACAAATTTGCGATTCCGATTTCGGAGGAAGAAAAAATCCGCGGACACAGACTCGTTGTTTGTAAATTCGCGGGAAATAATTTCAAGCTAGAAAAGGATATAAATTGTGTCCTCGAGGTCGTCGAGGTCCCACTCGATGGAGCGGAGTGCCTTCCGCAGCTCGGTGGTGGTCCAGTCGAGTTCCTCGGTGCGCGAGATCGCCGGTGTCGAGCCGTTCATCGGCGCGCCACCGGTCGGCGACGTGACCGCGACGTCCTGCAGCTCGTTCCATCGTCCGTACAAACCGCGATTCTTGTTCAACGCCTTGCACACCTCGCTGAAACAAACCAAGTTGCATGCGAGCCAATTAAGCCGTGCTTAATCACTGCTCGTGTATACACCACACACACTCTGCGCACATATACATGTGTCCGACATGTGTATGTACACACACTCCACTCGCAGAGAGATAAATACATACGCGCAAAGTATAAATCAAGTAATTAAAAGTTATGAATAGATCGCAAAGACGGTAAAGATAATTAATTAACAGGACAATTACCGCATATTTGCATTTGTATCATTAATTTCGAAGTTGGTCTCGTGTTTGCTTGCGTTCAACAATCTGATATCGTTCAATTTTCGAACGTTTTATTTTATTTTATTTTGAAAAACAACCGACCGAAGAAGACCAAGTTGAAAACGTCTCCGTATAATTGGTCTACGTGATATGTTAGCATTGAAAAAAAAAAAAATGATTAAATCTAATAAAAGATTTATTCCAAAAATGAAATTTATTAAATTTGTTATTCGTTGAAATTATTAATTGAAAACTTAATAAATTAACATCCAAATTAAAACGTGCTCCAATTTTTTTGTGTGATTATTTAGTTCTTGTTATAATGTTGAGAGTTTTTTCTTACATGTAAATATAATTTCTCAATCAATTACCAACTTGTTTGCATACAAACAATAAAATCTAAATTGACGTTGAAAAAAAAGTGACGTTGAAAAAAGTGCGACAGACATTCTGTCATACAAGAAAATAATATAAAATCAACTAATACAATAATAATAGTAATAATATATAATAATATATAATTAAAGAATAATATAAACAAAGAGTAATAATAGTGCAGTTATAATTAATTAGTTACACAATTAATAAGATTAGTCCGGCGTAATCTGTTTTTTAACTGTATTTTTCCTTTCCTCCTGAAACGCAATAGTTCTCTTATCTTCGTTGTTAGAGTAACATCGTGCAACACCGTTCAAGTACAAGACTTATTATCTACGATATCGTTTTGTCATACAAAAGTCGATTACTTTTCGGAGCAAATCGCGGCGATCGAGTCATCGCGGGTGTCAAGAGGCGTCGCGATACAACAAAAGACAACGAGGCGGTTCCGTCGTCGTCGAATTGGTCATTGTATCAGTTTACTTTCAATACACACATATACGTGATATACATCACCGACAATTCACTTTCGACCGATAGCCGTTATCGGCCGCGCCGTTATCGACGTGTTTGCAAAGCGAAATATCTTCTCCGCGCGCGCTCCGTTTTTTTTCTCTCCGCGCACCACTCGTCATCCCCCTCCGAAAAAAAAAAATCCCTCGAGACACACGCGAATCCTCCTTCTTCCCGTTCTTTCTTTTTCTCACGAAGGGACGAGGGAAAAAGACACGCGACGTGATCGCGAGCTTTCGTCGCCTCGGCCCGAAAAGTGAAATCGATGCTGTTTGTTTGTTTCGCGGCAACACTTACTCTTTGACGACAAAGAACGGATTTTCCAGCGTCATTCCTTTCCCGTCGGCTCTTTGAATTTAAAGCCTGGACCGCGGCCCGTCTCGCCGCGACGATCGCGCGGCACCCTCGCTGGTGGAAGCGCGATCGCGCCTCGGCCGCTCTCTCATCGGTGGAATCGGATCGTTTCCGATGCGCGCTCCCGCGAGGAAGTGCAGCCGCTTATATACACCTGTCCGGGCGTACGATCCGTGGTGTCGGTCGGGGAAACTGTCGCGGCGTCGAACTCTCGATTGTGCGAACTCACCACCGACGTTCGCACCGCGTCACCCTCGACACAACGTCGTGACGTCTGCTCGTGCCTCGGCGCCGCGCGTCACTATTTATTCGATTTTCACGCGCGCCCCGGCGCGGACCGTCGCGGAGCCACGTACCGCGCGGCTCCGCTCCGCTCGGCGATATTGATTCGCCGAGCCGGGAGGAGGACCGAGCTGCGTAATGTTGCGTTCACACAACTCGGCGCTCCCGAATTTCCCCTTTACTTCACGCGCTCGACGACGCCGAGCCGACAATCGCCGAGCAAGCAAATTCTTCGACGAACACGTTGAGAGGAAGAGCTTTTTTTTTTGGTCTCAAAAATCACGAACCACCACGTCTCGTTTTGAGAAGAATGTTTTCTTTTTTTTCTTTCTTTTATTAAGGAAAAACAGTTTCATAATAGGTGAAGAATAAAATATAAATATTTTCTTCTTGTAACATTTTTTTTGTCTTCTTAAACTCTTGTAACAGTTTGTAACGATTGTGCTAGGGTGTTGACAAATTGCTGGAGTTAAGTTTTCTTTTATCTTCACTTCACGTAAGGAATGTTTTGTTTCAAGTAAAATCTGTATATGTATGTATATGTACACGAGCTAATTGAATAAAAAAAAAAAAAAGCATCGAGACATGTAAATGCTCAACATAAAAAAAAAAAAATACATACACTATATACATGTATATATTGTAAAATAAAAATAAATACCTACACGATATCGTAAAACAAAGAGTAAAAACTTAAAAATAATCTTAGCGTTTTCTATGTAGAATTTGAATATATAATCGAGTCGCAACTCAAAATTATCTCCTTCTCAGTCGCGATGATAAACGAGAAAAACACCTCGGGCGTGATTCTGAGGTCCCGCGAAGCGTTTTTCTACATCAAACATATAAGTGAAACAAAACCACGTCACTCCGTTATTCCTAACAACAGGCCACAGAGTCCAGTTTCCTTTTTACTTTTTTCTTAAATATTAAATCTTAGAATTTTTTTTTCATCGAAGCCACTAACGAATAGATTAAGCTGATTTGCAAACACTTGGTATACGTGCAAGTGTCGGAGTTTACATTTTATAAGCAACAGAGAATATTTTTTTGTGGTTTTATACATTTAATGACAATTTTAACATAAACCTCCCTCGTATTCGTCCATGTCCTCCTCCTTTTGAGACGGTTCCGGCGCCGGCGCGACTTCGGGCTTCTTTTCGACCATCTTTTCCGCGGACTCGTTGACCTTGGGTTTTTCCTAGAGAATCAAAACAGACAATTGTTCACGATTCAAAACGATAAAATACAAAACGCAATTAAGAGAAAACAAGTAAGAAATATCAAAACTAATCTCACATGATTAGCAGCTTCTGTTTCACCAGAAGTTTGTTCATTGGACTTGGACACATTAGGAGAAACGTAAGATTCCGCGGCGTTGGCTCTCACCCCGGCAGGTGGAACGGCGTATTCCTGTTGCGGCAAAGGCAAGGTTCGCGCAAGTTTCGAGTACTCCACATCCATGTGCTTGATAAAGGGATTGTTGAGAGCCGCTCGGGCCGCGTCCGCGTCCTCGTTGTCATAAGCCTGTAGGAGCATTTCCAACGTTTGCACCTGTGTAAGGATCGTTACATTAAGTTCGTTTTAATCCACGCAATAAGATTAAATCGCAATGCGGTAGCGCGAATTGTTGTTCTATACTTCATCTATCAATAAATATATACGTTCAATATATACATTTCGAGAAATTAATTTTTTCTTGTAATATACCTCGGGAGGCTCGCAGTAATTTCCCCATTCCTTGAAAGCTTTTTCGGCCGCCACCTGATCGCTCCGCGCCAATTGCACCAGCACTAACACCACAGTGAGTCGTCCGATTGACGGCCAGAGTTTAATTTCCTGATACAGTCCGATCTCGCGACGTATCGCATCCGCAGCCTCGTCGTACCTTTGCAGCTTCACCAACAATCTCGCGGCTTTGCTTACGTATTCCGCCGCGTGCCGCGGACTGTCCTCGCCCTGCAAATTCATCATTTTTTTGGATTGTAAAAAGTCTCTTAAATTTTTTACGTACCATTCATCACTCGTTCAGATCATCATATAAGATTTGTTTGAGTCTTATTTTTTGTAACTTTTACGATATAAAACAGATGTATTTACAATCACTATGTCAGCCGCACGCCTGAACAACTCCAGAGCCTCCCGAGGTTGTGTGGATTCGAGCATCTTGGCCGCTTTGTCGAGTGCCGTCACACCCGATTCAGGCGAACCGTGCTGTTGAAAGAGACTACACGCATTGTGAGCCAATTTCGGCACCTCCGACAAGTCTCCCATTTCCTTGCAAATGAGCAAAGCCTGTTCGATGCATCTGAAAACTTTGTGTGCTTATACCATCGAAATATATGGAGGTGAAAAATCTAAATTATGTACATATGATACGTACTTTGCTGCGTGGAACCATCTATTTTGCATCAGATTTGCACAGTTAAGGAAAATTAAGTAATTCAAAATTCAATATATGAAATATATATATATATATCTGCAATATTTAGAATTTTAACTGAGCAAGGTTTTGATTGTTTTTTGTTTTAACATCAAAGGATACGCTTTTCCCTGTTTGTGACAATCAGCTGCTTTCATCAAACATTCTTTACACTTTACATATGACTTGGCTATTCGAAAACATGTAGCTAAAACAAAAACAAATTAGAAAAGTACTTTCACTTCTGATTAAAGAGTTCTTTTATTTTGTGTGACAAAACACGCTTTGACTTTTTGAATAGAATCAATTAGAACTCTGATTTCTCACAGTTCTTTGACAACACTCAATCTCTTTTGCTTCTCCAAACATTTAGGACTTTCCCTACCTGCGTGTGAATACTCCTCGGCTGCCACTTCGTAATCAGGTCGCCACTTTAAAAAAGTGGCCTTTAAACTGCAAAAAAAAAATGATTAAAAACACATAGATATTAAATTTTGCAATTCTAGTTTTTCCTTTTTTTACCAATTTAATTACAACGTGTCTCACGCGGTGAAACAAATTGGAAAAGAAGAGAACGCACGCCAAAGAGCGACAAAAAATCTACCAATTCAGCGAGTGACACATGTCAAAAAAGGGATGTTCCCCCTAGCGCGAATAAAAACATACGACAGATAACTGTGCGCTTACGCTTTCTCGGCCTGCCGTATATGCTCGTTCGCCTCCTCGATCTTAGACATTTTCCTCCTAATGGTGCCTTCGTGTTTGTCAAGTGTCAACGAGATCAAAAAAACTTTGCGTTGACGACAAAAATTAAATGTCAACCTCGCGGGAATTGCTCACGCTGCTCAAGACACTGCGGACGAAGACGCTGAAATTAATCCTCCCATTTGTCGTTCACGATTCGTCGAGATGGCGAAGTATTACGTGCGCAAGTGTTACGAACTAACCTTAATTGAACCCAACCCTACCTTGCTCCGCGCGAGAAGTGACACGGACCAGAGAGAAGCCTGAGAGCGGCCAGGCCCATAAGAGTTTTTGGGTACCATTATTCCGGCCCGTAAGCTAGCGCATGTCCATGGGTGGTGCACATTGGCAACTACGTAGCGATGTCCACGAGCGAGTTGTCGATACGTATGCTATGTCCACGCGTGGACATGGTT